ATACACCAATTTAGGGTATTTTTATAAGCATAGTTTGGATGATAATAATAGTGAAGCAAAGAAAAAAAAAAGAAACTGTTTAATGTGAGGGGAGCTGACGGAATAGTTGAGGAAGCTGCAACAAAAAAAAAGAAATTCTTAATGATAGCATAAAAACTTAGACTAAAAATTTAGCTAATTAACAGTATTTAAAATCAGTTTTTGGTGCATTTATGAAAAAAAAAAAAACAAAATTGAGGAAACAAAAATGAACAACTAAACAAACATAAGAAAAAAAAAACCATCGATTCCACCAAAAAACATCTATTCTTAGAATAATCTTCATCTGTGTTCGTCTTCAAAACCCTACTGGTTTGTTGATGTTTTTTGCAATGCTAACTGTTAAATAATAATTTTAACATCAGATTATCACAACAACAATTTTTTTTTTTACCGGTCATCTTAAAACCACAATGAATAATAAAAAAAAAAAAAATGGGCAAACAAATTGGAAAAAAAAAAAAAAAGATTTGAAATTATAGCTTGTAAAAAAAAAAAAAAAAGCTGTTTAAAATATACAACGTTTTTGCGGAAATTTACAAACAAAACACAGACAAAAAACAAGAAAAAAAAAAAGAATATTTATGCAGTACAATTGATAATCACATATTTTGTGCGCACAAAAATACCAACACGAAACAGTACAGATACAGGATTCTGAGTGCTTTCTGAACAGAAATTGGTGAAACGAAGATGTGAACAGAAAAGTGATTGGGATACGGCAACAGTGTCTATGTGTGTGTCTGTGTATATTCACATCCAAAGATGGCTAATTATTAGCGGCTAATCAACAAGTTTTCTTTTTTTTTCTTCAGCTTCTTTTCCCATAAACAAACTTTTGTTCTTCTTCTCGAAAACTCCATCAAAACATTTGTTAAATCTATTTGTTCTGTTCTTTTTTGTTTTTTTGTTTTTCTTTTATGCCATTTCTAATCGTCCATTCTTTTTTCTTTTTGGCTTTGCTTTCCTTTTTTTTTTTTTGATGGCTTTTACCAAAGAAGAATTGAAGGTAAAAACAACAACAACAACAACAAAATTGGCTAAAAACAGAAGATGAAAAGTTTAGCTCATTTCCCTCTTTTTTCTCTTCTTTTTTTTTTTCACTTTCCTTCCCTTAAAAAAGAAAAAAAAAGACAGAAACAAAAAAAGTAATAATTAGTTGGATTAATTGAAAAAAAAAAGGTTATCACTGTTTTTCTGCTTAGTCTTTGAATATATTAGGAAAATTTGTTGTTCGTCTGTCTTATTGCTCTCTTAATTCAGCTTTGTTTTTTCTTTGATTAAACAAATAGACAGTCTTAAAAATAAAACAGTCTTAAAAATATATAAAAAAAAATTTTTTTTTTAGAGTTAAATTCATAAACATTTCCTTCTCTTTTGTGCATTAAAAAATGTCTCATTTCTATGCATGAAAAAAAAATTTTTTTCTGTCATTTGTTACAAAATAATAATTCATTCATTCTTTTTCACTTTTTTTTTCTATTTTTTTAGAAACATTTTGCCAAGTACTTTTTTTTACAGTTGTTGTTATTAATTTGATTTTTTTTCCTCATTTTTGTTTCTGTTTTTTTTTCACTTTAAACGGCAAAATTGATGAAATCAAAAGTAATTTGTTGATCTAAAGCAAACGCTTTGATGGAATTTTTGTTATTTATGCCATCTTTTCAGCTAATGAAAGAAGAAAAGAAAGCCGAAGTTGAGGGGGTTTAACCAATGCTAAGCTTTGGATGTTGACTTGTTGGTATCTAGAGATCATAGTAGGGGGAAGAGGAGGGGAAAGAAAGATGAGGAAATGTATAAAAATACTGATAAAACTAAAAATGAAGATAAAAATGGGGAATACCAGAAGTCAGGAAGAAAAGATTTCAGAAACGAGATAACAGAACACAACAGAAAAAAAACGCTATCAACGACGAAATTTAGCAAAAAATTCAACAAAATTATATGACATATCCAAAGTTAACTGTTGAAGACGAACATTTCGACGATGTTTGTCAGATACGTTAAAATTGCAGTAAAAACGTTCCGTTCCTTTTCTGCTGTTAATGAGTTTTAGTGGCGTTCCTTCATTATATTCTTTTCTTTTTTACTTTTTTTTTTTCGTCTTTCCTGTTTAGTTTTCCCTACAGACATTTGTCATGAATCAGCGTTGTCCCGGAATTGTGCAAAAAAAAACCCTGAAAATAATGTTTTAAATTTGTATTTTTGAATTTGTGAAACAATAGCGATAAATTTGGACAGTATATTTTGTTAACCAGTGTAGAACCGAAATATTAGAAAATATTACTGGAAAACTGTGGTAGAATAGTTACCGTAGAAAAAAAAATTCCATTGTTTTTTTTCCCGATAATATTTTAGCTACACAGTGATAAAGCTGGTTTTTTTTTTTTTGGTTATTAGAGTAGACGAACATGCTGAAGTGGGCATCGTAGAAATACATTGTGCTCTGTACGTACCAGTACCCGTCCGTCAGCAATTGTATCTGGTTGTGCAAATACAACCTGCAAAATATTATCCTGGTCAACTGCCGGTAATCCCCACCAACCATATTTCAAAAAGCGGTTAAAAAAAAATTTCAAATAAATATCAAAAATAGTTGTTTTTTTCCTTAACAGTTATTTTTCTATGCTTATTATCAATATTATTAACAGTGCTGTCATTCTTTCTTTGGCCTAATAGAAATAATTTTGGCAAATAGATTAGCAAAAAAAAAAAAAA